GCGAGGGCGGTGGCGACGGGGGTGGAGAGGGTGGTGGCGGCGAGGGTGGAAATGAGGGCGGCGGCGAGGGCGGCGGCGGCAGCGGCGGCGGCGGAGGCGGGGACGGGTGAACAATAGGCCAGATCGGTGGCGAGGATGGCGGCGGCAGCGGCGTCGGCGAGGGTGGCGATGATGGAGGCGGCGAGGGCGGTGGCGAGGGTGGAGGCGGCGAAGGCGGCGGCGAGGGTGGCGGCGGCGAGGGTGGCGGCGGGGGTGGGGGCGGCGAGGGCGGCGGCGGCGAGGGCGGCGGCGAGGGCAGCGCAGAGGGGGGCGGTGGTGAGGGTGGTGGTAGTGAGGGCGGCGGGGAGGGTGGCGGAGGCGACGATGGCGGCGGCGATGACGGTGGCGACGGTGGCGGTGGAGACGGTGGCGGGGGGCTGGGCGGTGGCGGACTGGGGTAAGGCGTCGACGGCGGCGGAGGCGAGGGCGGCGGCGGCGTCGGTGGAGGCGGATCAGGCACCATTGAGGGTGGTGGCGCCACCGGGTCTCCGGCAATAACCCCCGGGAAGCAACCGGAATACCCCGTTGACTGTGGTTCGCCGCAGAACCCTCTTTCCTGGCACCATTTATCAGCCTGTGGAGACCATGAGCATGACCCCTCTGCGAGGGGGCTGCAACCGTCTTTGTCCGCTATACGAAAGATGTCTGCCGTTGTGTTTGTGCCGTAAGTTCCGCCCTTCGTGCAGCTTGGTGGCTCCATCTCGGGGTACAACTCCGACATATCGTATGATGTGTCGCAGCCGATCGAGCAGCAGTAATCCTTGAGGTCGCTCTTTTTACTGCAGTGGCTTCCGAGCGCAAGACCCCGGAGGATGAGGAGGGCGAGAAGTGGCAGAGGAGGAAGCGCAGCCGCGCACTCAGGAGCTGAAGCCGGCATGCGCGCCAGGCTTAGGACCGCGACGCCCAGCAGCAGGGTTGAACGAACTCTCTGTCTCTCTCTCTCTCTCTGCAGTGCCGCCGCCCCAGCCAGGCCTATTCCGCCGCGCCGAGTTTTGCCCGGCGATTTGGGTCGGGGAATTTGTCTGAGTTTATCAATAGGAGAATCTTCCCTGTTGCGCTTTTGGGGGAAAGCAAAACAACTCTCTCTCACAGCAGACAGGCTCGACACAAGTGCGAACTGGCGCGTGCTAGCACTATCACAGGCTCGCCAGAAAAAGAATTAGAAAAAGAATTTGAAAAATGTCAAAGTTCCTCGCACGACACTAGGCACGGGCTGGCGCGCACTGGCACTAACACAAGTACACCACGGGAGCCGCCTAAGCGACTCCTGCGAGGACGGCGAGGCACTTAGCTCCGTGCACTCGACCGCCCTCGCCGCACCCAGGCAAGACGGGGAGGGTAGTGGAACTGACGGCGTGTCAACTCCAGTAGTTCCTCGGAATGCCCATGTGCTCCGCAGCAAGCTGCATGTTATCCGCATTCAGCAGCTTCTCAAATTCGGCTTGAGTGAGAACGCTAATGTCCAGTAGCTCTCTCAGGCGCGCCTCGTCGCTCTGGGACCGCTGGGTCATCGCGACCTTGGAAGGGCCCTTAACGACGACTTGCTCCGCGGGTTGCCGCTCCATCTGCAAGCCAGCAGGCGGCACGGGCGCCTCGTCGCTCTGGGTCACCGCGACCTTGGAAGGGCCCTTAACGACGACTTGCTCCGCGGGTCGCCGCTCCATCTGCAAGCCAGCAGGCGGCACGGGCGCCACTGGCTGCGCCGCGACGCGCTGCGCCTTGACGGGCTGCGCCGGTTTAGGCGGTGGCCACAGCATCAGGAAATACTGGCCGGCGGCAAAGCCTGGGGGGATCTGCACCACGGACGTCTTGACCTGGAAGGACTGCCCGCCCGAGAGCCCTGCCGGCACCTGCACCATCACCAGCTGTTGCCCGGGTGCATCGAGAGCATCGGCGGGCAGGACGATGTCGAACTTTGCGAGGTCTTCTCGAGCCGCAAGCTCTGTGGCCTGCGCTTCCTGCAACGCAATCTGCATGCGCTTCCTGCGCTTCCTGCGCATTCCTCCAGGAAGTATTTTCTCCAGGCCATCGCTGGAGGATTCCTCCAGGTAGTATTTTCCTCGGATTTCTTCCGAGCTCGCCGAGCTGCCTACGCCGAAGTAGAGGTACACGCCGAACGCCGCGAGCAGCACGTTCACTGTTGCCAAGCCCACGTCGCGTGTGGCCTTGAGGAAAGCGGCGACGACTTTGTAGGCATCAAAGCACGGCCCGCCGCAGCAAGCGGGCCTGCAACTCGTCACATAGTCTGACTGGTCTGCGATCCGCGCAAGCCGCGCCTCAAGCTCCCGGATCTGCTGTTGCAGCTGCTGCCAGAGCGCCTGCGAGATGGCCGCCTCGTGCAGATGGCCACCTTCTTTGTATGCAGACGGCGCAAACTCGCGGCTGGTCGTGCCCCAACCCGAGGTCACTCCAACGACGATGCCCCACTCTATCTTTGCCGGGTCGACGATTGCGGGTACGCCGCCGCCGCCGCCGCCGCCACCGCCGCCCCAACAACCGCACCCCGCCGCCGCCCCAAAGCCGCCGCCGCCGAAGCCGCCGCCGTAGAAGCCGCCGCCGCCACAGCCGCCGCCGCCACAGCCCCCACAGCCGCCGCCGCCACAGCCCCCCTCGGTGTATACGATCTGCTTGGATTGGCTGAAGGCCATGGGTCCGAGCATACACCGGGCGCTCTCTAGCTTGGTCAAGTGCGCCTCAACCGCGTCTGCGGCCACCACGTTGTCCACATCCACGCGGTGTGAGAAGCGGGCGTTCGGCCAGCAGCACAGCCGTCCCGCCACAACAGGGACGCGAAACTCGCGGCCGGTCACGTCGTCGACGAGGACGAGCGCGCTGCCGGGCTGGTCGGTGAGATAGACGACGCAGACCCAGCTGCCCACCGCAGCGCCCTTGCCGTCCGGCTTGTCCTTGTGCTGGGGAACGCTCTTGGAGGCCGGGCACACCCGCGCAGGCACCTCCACCAGCTCCTGCTCCCCGGCCTGCTGCGGCTCCTGCGCCGCCTGTGCCGGCAGGTCTGCCCACGATTCCGCCGCCACCGCCCCATCGGCGTCGAGCTGCTCTCTGAGGCGGCGCATGACGTCGCCGCTGACCGGGCAGACCATGTCGAAGCCGCTGTGCGCCTTTTTCCGGACGTTTGCCTCGCTGCTCAGCTTCTCGAGCGCGTTCGCCACCTCCTCCTCCGACAGGAAGCCGTCCCGCACGCGAAAGACATCGGCGCCGTCGGTTTTGAACCACCAGTCCGGCGGCTCGCCGCGGTTCGTGACGCCGGTCCGGTCGATCGGGTCGGCCGCGTCGCCGTGCTCGAGCGCCCATAGCACCTTCGTCTCGGCCCAGCCCTCGTGCAGCTCGCTGTCCTCAACCGAGTCGTCGTGGTCGACGCCACCGGGGGCGTCGGCGAGCTCCTCGGTCTCGCGGAGGTAGGCGGTGGTGCTGGAGAGCATGTGCGTGTGCCACGCAAAGTCGATGTCGTAGGACGGCACGAAGAAGTGCTCCTCGTACCCGTACCTCTTCATCAGGCCCAGGAACTGGAGGTAACGCGCGCCGGCGGCCACCGCAAAGTTGACGCGGCCCTTGCTGCCGCCCTCGCTGAACTCTGGCTGCGAGACCTGCCAGAGGAAGGTGCGCTGGCGCGCGGAACAGGCCTCCACGTCGTAGTCGAAGCCGAGTTCGCTGCGAATCAAAGCACACGCCTCCTTGACCTCGTCGCAGAGCGTCGTCTGGTTCGAGAGCGGGTCGCGAGGGCCGCACTCCGCCGGGCTGCTCCCGCCTTCGCTGCGCTGCTGGAAGAAGGGCTCGTCGTAATAACGCTTCTCCCACAGCCGCCGAGTCTCACCATCGGCCTCCTCCGCAGCGCTCTGTGCCTTGAAGGCCGATGCCGACGGATCGAGCACCCGCCCGAAGCGCTCGTTGCAATACGCGGCGTAGCGGCGAGGAGCAAGCCGGTGTAGGTGCCACACCCAGGCGATGTCGATGGGCGGGATGAGACAGACGCCGTCGCCCTCGCTTGCGACGAGCGGCAGCCAGTGCTCGAGGTACCTCTTGATGGCTCCGGGCAAGAGTGAGCCGAGGTAGAGCGCGTCGCCGAGAGAGTGGACGACCCGGAGGAAGGCCTTGTGCTCGGCGAATCGGAGCGGGCTGATGGAGGTGGGCATGAGGCCGAATCGGAGCGGGCTGATGGACGTGGGCGAGTGAGGCGCGCCGGCGGCTCGCAGCTCCCGTGACACGATTGCGTTCGAATAAATTCTGTGAGGTAAGGTAAGGTAAGGTAAACTTCTCCAAATTCTGTGATGTATGAAATGTGGAGAGAAACAAAAAGGCAAGAAAAAAGAAGAAAGCGCAGAACGAGGCAGATAACGTAGTCGTAGAGCCGAAAGCAGACATGACAGGAACATTGTCATTGACGTAGCGACGAGAGCTGTGGATACGACACAGTCTGCGCAGACCGAGAGCGAGACACCAGAGTGCATGCCAGAAAGCGAGACAGCGGCCGCGAGCGGCGCGCAAGAGTGCTCGGCCGAGAGTACACATCACGCCCCCATGCGAAGGGGCGAGGGAGTGCGTCGCGACGTAGTAGACAGGATCGGATGCGGCAAATGCGAGGAGCTGCTAACGACGAAGCGCCTACCTGCGGCGGTCACGACAGCTTCGCCTTCCTTCGGGCCAGTCGCAACGGACGCTCACGTTCCATCGCGCGGCGGGAGGATCCGCATCTCTTCGAGAACCGCAGCCATCTGCGTGACCACGGTTTCGGCGCTCAGCTGCCCCTGGTGTCCGGCCATACGCTGCGTCATGCGCTGTGACACCGCCTCAGCCAGGCCGGGCGGCGGCACGAACGCGTTTGGCCCCGGCATCTGCTGCAACAGCTGCTGCATGACAGCTGGGCCAAACTCGCCGCCCACGACAGCGCCGCCACCGGGGAAAGCGACGGCATGGATGGTAGCGCCGCCAGCGGTGGCAGCGCCGCCAGCCGTAGCAGCGCCGCCAGCGGTAGCAGCGCCGCCAGGAGCAGCAGGGCCACCTGCTGGCACGGCGACAGCAGCGCCGCCGCCACCGCCGCCCGCACTCGCGTTGCCGCCGGCGGGCGGAGCACTTGGCGTCCCGGCAAGCATGTCGTCGCCGCCGGCATCGGCTCCGCCCTCGTCCTCCTCCCTCGACCGGAAGCGCAGGTTGTTCATCTTGATCTTCATCCGCTTCACCTCTCCGGCCAGCAGCTCGACCTCCACAGGGTAGCGGCCGCCTTCCGGCTCGAAGCCGCCGATGACCGTCCCCCGCCGGCCGTTGAACTGCGGCTGCTTCGCCAGGCCGACGATGACGACGAGGTCGCCGAATAGGAAGCCAGCGATGTCTTGCTCCTCGCAGGTGGTGCCAGCGTCGAACGAGAGCTCGATGCAAGCGGCGTCGCCGCTGTACACGCGGAGGACGGGGTCGTTCCGGACGCTCTCGTTGATCTCCCGCGCGGTGGCAGCCTCGCTCGGCGTCAGCGCCCCGCGCAGCACCAGGCCGCGCTTGTGGAGGAGGGGCAGCATGGTCGTGAGCTTGTAGTAGCTCAGGCCGTCAAAGCCAGGCCGCTCCCCCGTCGGGACGAGGCCCGCCTCGGACAGCTTGCGCAGCGTGTCGTACGGAGCGAAGGGGCGGCGCACGAGCCAGTCGTGTGCTTCGACCTCAATCAAGTGGCCGGCTGCAATCTCGGTCGCGAGCGCACCGGCGCTGTCAGCGAACTCGTAAAGCGAGACAAATGGTGCGGTCGAGGCAACAGAGACGGCGTCGGACCCGGCCACCTCAGCCTCCTCGGCAGCAGCCGACTCGGCCTCGCCCGCCTCGGCCTCGCCCGCCTCGGTGGTGCCGCCGCCGTCGTCGTCGCCATCGCCAACCTCCGACTCGCCCCCCTTCTTGACAGCAGCGATGTCGGCGCATGCTCCCGGCGTTGTGTCGCGCAGGTCGACGAGCAGCTTGTTGGCAGGAGCCGGATGATGGTAGCCACGCTCGGGCTTTGGCGGCCTCGCGAACGTCTTGACGCGCACGATCTTGCCACGCTGCCACACCTCGTCCGGGTGACCCATCTGACAGTAGGGACCCGTCTTGACCTTGACCTCGACCACCTCGCCCAGCCGCAAGCGCGGCGAGTGACGGGAGGGACCCGGCTTGTCGCCGCTCTTCTCTCGCTTGTGCCGGCGCACGTCTTTCGACTCCATCTTGATGAAGACCTCGCGCTCCTCCTCGCCGAGCGCTGCGAACGCAGCCTCGCACTCAGCCTCACTCATGCGCGGTGGCGGCTCGCTTGCCGCCTCGATGGCGGTGTCGTCGGCGGCTGGGAGCGGCAGCTCGCGGCTGGCTCGGAAGAAGTCCGGGGCCGAGCGCACCGGAGTGGGCGGCGGCAGCTTGATCGGCGGCGCTGTGAGGACGAGCTCTGCGAGGTTGTGCGACGCCACGCTCGGCGGCAGGTGGCAGCTGGAGCTGAAGCCGGCCGCAGGGACGGGCGAGAAGGACGCATTGCGCTCCGCCAGCGAGAAGGACGACGGTGTCAGCAGGCAGCCGAGCTTGTAGCCCCAGTCGCTCACGTGCTCGGACGGCAGCACCGAGAGGGAGCGCTGCGCGGTGAGGGCGAAGCGCGCGCCTTCGGCCGGGTAGCCGCGCAGCTCCGACTCGCTCATGCCTCGCCCGTCTTGCGAGTGTAGGAAATCGCACCAGTTGTCGCCCTTGTGACGCGCGCCCTGCAGCGCGGCCTCGATCCGGAGGCAATCGTACCCCACTCGCCATGGCACGACACCGGGCGAGTACAGGACCGGCCGCATGCCGGTGGCCTCGTTGCCCGTCGCCGCCTCACCGCTCGCCTCGTCGGCCTCGGTAACGTTGTACATCTCGTTCCCGCTCATCTCGACGTCGCCGCGGAAGTAACGCGTGGTCGTCCTGAGCGGGACGATCGTGTCTCGCGCTCGCCAGTGCCCAAGCCAGCCCGCCGCCCACGCGTCGGCGAGCTGCAGCGGAGGGCCGGCGGCTAGTGCCGAGAGCTGGAGGAGTCGAGGCAGCTGCACGGATCGCTTGCGCTCGCCGAGCTTGTCGGAGACGAGGAGGCGGGCAAGCCCGCTCTTCGGCAGCCCCTCGGCGCCGAGCAGCGTGGTCGCGTCGAACAAGCCGGGGTCGACGCGCGACGGGTCGAAGAGGTCGGCTCCCAAACCGATGGCGAAGCCCCGTCGGCCGTACTTGAGTAGACGCGACTCGTACGTCTTGGACCGCCGGTCGACGTCGACGAGGTTGACCTTGGTCGCGGCGGCACGCATCGCTCGGTGCGTGCAGCGCACCGCCGCGCCGTCGTAGCAGAAGCCGCAGCAGTCCACGTCGAACGAGGAGAGGACGTCGGCGGCCGAGGCGAAGAGCTTGAGGACAACCTGCAATGAGGCTCGCGCGTGGGAGAGAGGGACGGAAAAGAGAGGGGTGCGAGGGACGAAGCGCGGGGGAAAGATCGAGAGGGACGGCAACCGCGTGGGGTGTGAGGACCTGGGGAAAGCGCTGCGGGAATCCAACGGCTTAGGAAACGTGTCTAGGAGGCGTCTGGGCCTGGACAAAGCGCTGCGGGAAGCCGCCGGCGACGAAGGTGATCGCCGAGCCCGTCTTGACGAGGAGCAGCTTCGAGCCGTGGTGGTTGCGGCGGAGGACGCGGTGGATCGCTCGCACCTTTGCGAGGGCCTGCTCTGCGCTCAGTCCGACGAGGAAGAGGTCGACATCCGAAGAGGTCGCAAAGGGGGAGCGCGTGCTCTCGCTCCCGCCGTCGCCGTCGTCGACCTTGCCCTCGCAGCGGCGCGACGTCCCGCGCCGGCAGTGCTCGTGGTGGGCCGGCTCGAAGAAGGCGCGCCGCGCCTCGACCTCCACCAGCCTCTCCTCGTCGTCCATCACCAGGGCGGCGGCATCAGGGCCGCACGTCGGCGGCGAGGACGTTTCAGGCGGGCTGCAGGGCGAGGAGGCCGGCGGCGTGCTGCCCCCCGCCGTGGGCGTGAAGTCTCCCGCCGTGGGCGGGCAGTCTCCCGCCGAGGAGGACGCGCGCTCAGATGCCCGCTCGGAGCGCGCCGGCGAGGGCGAGCGGGCGGAGGTCGGGATCTTGGCGCGCAGCACGCATGCGAGCACGGCCCCGCCCGCGAGGACGCAGCCGGACATGTCCAGGCCGCGCAGGAGGCCGTTGGTGAAGGCGTCCAGGTTGAGCTCGAACGTCGCGAGGTCGCGCTCGAAGACAGGCGCGCCGAGCGGCTCGGCCGCCAGGGCACGGTCATGCGAGAAGAGTAGCGAAGCAGAGGGAAGCGACGGCGGCGCGCTCGTCGACAGGTATTGGCCCCAGTCGGAATGGACGTCGATGAGGGCGAGCCTCTCGGCGTCCTCGTCGGTCGCCGCCTTGTCCGAGGCAGCGGCACGCCACGCGCGGTAGCGGTGCTCCTCGCGCCGGATGGCCGCGTCGAGCAGCGCGGCGGTGGCAGCCGAGCGGAGTGCAATCGCGCTTGACGAATGCATGTGCGGCAGTCCGTACTTTTGGCAGCAGACGAGGAGGCGCGGGTTGATGCGAGGCAGCACCCACTCGAAGGACGACGGCGGCCACTGGGCGAGGCATGCCGCAATCTCTTCCACGTCCTCGACGGAAGCCGTATCGCACGCGCCGTCGCACTGCATTACCACGATACGAAGCGCAAGCTCCTTGAGAGACGGTGCATGCCGATCGCCAGCGGGCGCGCGAGGCGCTGCAGGGCTCTTGCAGAAGATGCCCCTGAACATCGTACCGTCGGCAGTCGTTCCACTACGCAACTACGCTCTAGCCGATAGAGCTCTACGAACCACAGGGCCTGGTTGTGTGGCGCCCAGCAATAGTGTTTCGACCTTTTTCTTTTTCTGTTAATGCCTAGACACCTCACTAGACCCCACACACGGTCTCGTCCGTGCCTCGCCGGCCGGTGAGATTGCTAGAGGTGGAGCAAGCCTGCTCTAGCCTCGCATGTCACTTTTGTAAAATGAACTCGGGGGCACAGGACGCGGCACAAACGGGGTACACCAAAAGGCACGGGCTGCGTGCACGGCGTTCACTCGAACGCCATGCACATGGCGCGGAGCAGCATCGGGTTGGTGTCGAACCCGAGCGGGTCCTCCTCCCAATCCCGGTGCCCACCCTCCGCGTCGTCCTGCTCCTCGTGCGCATCGAGCACCCTGCCGAGGCACAGGATCGTCCCCTTGGGAACGCCCGCCCCTCGCGCGCGTGGGAACTCTCCCTCCACCGCCATCAAGAACTTCTCGCGCGCCCACTTGCCGCCACGGCGGCAGTGCTGGGGCGCGCGCTCGCGTAGCTCCTCGTAGAGCTCCTCGGCCCTCGCCACCTCCGCCGCCCAGCCCTCCGCCGACGCCTGAGCCGCCTTCTTCTCCCTGAGCGTCTTGAACACCGGCGGCGGCGCCGGCGATGGCGCCACCTCCGGCTCGCCCGCCGCCTCTGCATCCGGCCGCCCTGTCGTCTGTTGTTTGTTGTGCCCTTGCTTGTTCCCAAGTCCGGCTCACGCGCCCCGACTGACCGATCTACCGCACTGAACACTTCCGCCCCCTCGCTCCCAACCCATCCACTCCGCCCCGGGCCGCGCCGCGTGATCTCGGGCCGCGCGATCTCGGGTGATCTCGGGCCGCGCCGCGTGACCTCGGGCGATCTCGCACAATCTCGCGCAATCCCGGAGCTCCACGCCACTCCACTCCACCCCACCCCACCTCACCCACCGCCGCGCCGCGCTATCTCGGGCGATCTCGGAGCGTCGCTCGCGCGGCGTCACACCTGCTCAAAAAAGGAAGGGCCTGGTTGGAGCCACGGGGCTCACGAGGACGTGCTCGCTCGGTTCTCGCCGCCTCGCCCTGCGCCACTTGGGCCGGTGAGGCGGCGCCCCGCGCGGCGCGTCCCTCGCCCCGTCACGCCGACCCCTGCGCGCACCGCTCATCTTCAGCTCTTCGGGTTACTCTTGCGCTCACGCAGGGAACCCGGCGGCTGGATGGTCGACATGATGGGACGCATCAGCCCCACGCGCCAGCTCTCGATCGACTTCACGCGCAACCTCGAGGAGAAGTCGAAGCAGGCCAGCCCCAAAGACATCGAGGCCAACATCGAGGCATCGTGGCCAGCGCCAACTGCCATGAGCGAGTCGAGGCGGATGGAGGCCATCGAGGCGTACACCGTCGCCCTTGAGAACAAGACCCGGCCCTCCTGAGCTCATCGCGAATCTTCCGACGGCGGTTCGCCAGGCCCTCGCGAGTAGTAGTGTCCCTCACATGTGTTTGTGCATATTTGCCCTGGATCGGCGCGTGTTCGTCTCTATTTGTGTGTTGATGCTCGTTTCGTTCTACGTCGTGCACTGTACTGTAGTTGTGCATTCGAGGTTTCGCTATTGAATTTTCCCCTCGCCCCCGGCCGCGGCCGCTCTCATTCATCCCCCTCATCCAGCCCCCTCGCCACGCCCGCGCCAAACCCCGACGTGATGGCGAGGAGGAGCAGCAGCGGCACGGGCGAGACGGCGAGCGAGCCGAGCAGGTCGCCGAGCGGGAGGGGGCACGGCGCCTGCGAGGGGAGGGCGAAGAGGCTGATGTGGAAGCAGGAGGAGGAGGGGCCGAGAAGCGGGAGAGAGTGGTGCGATGCGCCTCGCGCGTGCAGACCGCCTCGACGGCGGCCCCGTCCGGCAGCCACGCCGCCGCTGCCGCGCCGCCGGGCGCGGCGGACACGCAAACCGCTCCGGCGGCCGAGGCGGCGAAGGGTGCGTCAAGGCGCAGCCGGGAGGGGCGGACCGCGGCGCCGGCGGAGACAGGCCCGCTCGCGCAAGCAGAGGCTCGCACGCCGCCGCCGCGCAAGAGAGAGACGGCCTCGATCGTTGCCACGGCCTCGTCACGGCGGCGCGCGGCACCCTCCCCGACAGCACCGCCGCGCGCCGCCGCCCGCTGCGCCGCCTGCGACGGCTGCGACTGCAACAGCAGTGGCGACGGCGACGGCGGCGGCGGCGGCGGCGGCGGCGGCGGCGGCTGCTTCGGCTGCTGTTGCGGCGGCGGCGCGCGTGCGAGCGGGTCCGCCTTGCGCGTGGGCGGCCGCCTGCGGGGAAGGTGCCGGCAGGGGTGCGGGGAAGGCGCCGGGAGGGGTGCCGGCAGGGTGCCGGCAGGGCAAGGGTACGGGGAAAGTTCCAAGGGAAGGTCTCGCGCGGATGCCTCCGCACGGAGTGGCGCGCGCGAATCTCGCCGCGAGCGTCGCGCCGCAGGCGACGCAAGGCCTGCCCACAGCCGGAGGCGTGACGAAAGCTGCTCCCAGTGCCCCGGCTGCGCGTCGCGGTGTCGGCGGCGAGGGGCCTGCGCCGCCGGCTCGGCCCTCCACGCACGGCCGTGCCGCTCGCGCAGCGCCGCAGCGACCTCGCGCGAGAAGAGGAGCGAGCTTATTAGTTAATGGCTAAGTAATAACCTGGTCCTTTATTAATTCACGGACTCGACCTCGCGCGAGAAGAGCGCCCAAACGGTGGGCAAGTGCGACGCGGCGGTGGAGGCGATGGGCGAGGGTGGCGGCCCGAGTAGCTCGCCTATATGAGGATGAGCGGTGAATGAAGGAGGAGAGCGCGGCGAGCAATTTTGAGGCGCCGCCAGCGAGAGCTCGCCCACGCGCAGCAGCAGCCGGTCGGCGCCTGATCCACGGCCAGACCCGTGAAGCGCGCTGCTGAGTGTCGCACTCCACCGCGCTCTCGGCTGCACCGAAGCGCGTCGCAGCGGCGGCGTGCAGCACATCGCCGCGCTGCAGCGGCGCGCAGTACTCGAGCGCGCGGAGCAGCTCGCCGTGCAGCGCGAGGTACTCGCGAGCGCACCTCGTGGTAATGTTCCAAGAAGGTTCTGGGAAGAGGCTCCGTGTAAAAGGCCCACCACGACACGGTGGAGAGTGGGAGAGGTGCGCACTCGGCGGTCGCCGCGCGGACAGCCTCGACCGCGAGCGGGCCACACTGCCGCGCCGAGAGCGGCCACGACTGCCGGGATAGGGCGGCTCGGGCGGCGGCGAAGGCGGCGTCATGCTCGGATGCCGCCCAGATGGCCTGTTCCTCTGCCCGCCGCCGCTCCATCTCCTGCAGATTACTGGCGAGCCCCTCGCGGATGGCGGTGTCTCGAAAGACGTCATCTGGGACGATGCCTGCCAGCTGGCCACTGGGCACGCTCGCCGCCTCCCGCAGCCGCTGCGAGCTCTGCCGCTCTCGGACTCGCGACCGCCTGGCCGCCGCGACAATCGACGCCTGGCTCGAGCTGTCCAGCGCCCGAGTCGCGATCGCGGCGAGGGCTGCCAGCGAAAGCATGCTCCGAGCAGCTGCTCCGAGGTGGAAACCGGGGGCGCCTTCCGACGAAGGGCCGCCCCCCCCCCGCCTGGCGAACAAAACAAAAGTGTGCGTCCCCTAAATGCGCATAATGAATTTCTTCCTATGCCCGTCGGACAGAAACTTCGACGGCTTGAAACTTCGACGGCTTGCTCAAAAGAAATATTGCGCGGCTGCAACTAGGGCGCCAGCGACACCCATTTCGCCGTGAGAGTTCAACCTGCAAAACGCTCTGCCGCTTACTCGAAACCATGCTTGCTCGCGGCCGTCGAGGCTATCAGACGAGCGCAAAGGCGCTCAACTACTGCGTCGAGCTCGTCCAGGAGCGCGACGTCGAGCGCTACCTCTGCAACCTCTCCGCGCCGGCCGCCGTGCGCCCTGCGCTCTTCGCGCTGCACGCCTTCAACCTCGAGACGGCCCGCGTGCGCTCCTCGACACGCGAGCCTCAGATTGCGCGCATGCGCTTCGTCTGGTGGCGCAGCACCGTGACGGCGGCGCTGCGCGGCGAGCCGCCCGACAACCCCGTCGCGCAGGCGCTCGCCGGCGCCGCCGCCGGTGGTGGTCTCACCGGCCGCTTCTTCCACCAGATGCTCGAAGCGCGCGAGGACGACGTCGACACGACACAGGCTCGCCGCCGCCTAACGCCTATGAGACACTTCCGAGACACTTCCGAGACACTTCCGAGACACTTCCGAGGCGCGGCGGTGGCTCTCCTCCCCTGCACCGGCCTGTGCACGCCTCACCCGCTCCCGCCCTGCCGCCCTCCCCCCTCTCCCAAGCCGGCGGACCGCGCCGAGCTGCTCCGCTACTGCGAGAGGACGGCGGGCTCGCTGCTGCACCTCTCGCTCGAGGTGCCCGAGAGTGGGAGATTGGCTCGAGATTGGCCGAGAGTGGGAGATAGGCTCGAGATTGGCCTGAGAGACGAGCCGAGATCTGAGAGGAGCCGGTACGAGCTGGCGCTGGTACTCGCCGAGGGGAGCCGAGGGGAGCCGAGGGGAGCCGAGGGGAGCCGAGGTTGCCCTCTCGCTCGAGGCGGGGGGTGCACCGGCATTGCGTCTCGTTGGAGGAGTGACGCCGCTGACGCCGTGCCTGCCCTCGCTCGGTGGCCGTCGCTGCCGACGTGCGAGACTCGCCGAGATTGCACGAGACGGCTCGAGATTGCACGAGACGGCTCGAGGTCGCCCGTCCGCCTCTCGACACAAGGCGTCGGGCGTCGCTGCCGATGAACCCACCGAGAGCGCAGCGCTGCACGTCGGCTGCGCCGTCGGCATCGCCCCCTCTGCTGCGACGACGTCGAGCCACTGGACGAGGGCTCAGCACGAGCCGTCACTGAGCAGGCATCGCCACGTTGCTGCGCGGCGCGGCGCACCACGCGGAGCAAGGCGCCTCTCCCCGCTCCACCCCTGCCGACGTGGCGCACGGCCGCAATACGTGAGCGGTCTAAGTCTTAGGCGCCTCTCCCGGCATCCCCCGCTGGACGCGGCGCCACGCCGTCCCTCAGCGCTCTCGGGCCCTCCCCGCAGGCGCCTCCTACATCCCCGCCGATGTGGCGCAGCGGCACGGTGCTACTCCCGCTCCGGCAGCTCCTGTTCCCACCTCTGCTGGCTCACACATGCACGGCGCCCTCTCTGCGCCAGGCGCTTCGCTCAAGCAGCTCCTCTCCGGCCGGCCGAGCGCCCCGCTCTGCGACGCCGCGGCCGAGCTGGCGCACGAGGCGACCACCCACCTCCTCGCCGCGCGCGCGCTGGCGCCGGACCTCTCCCCGCAAGCGCGCGCGCTGCTGCAGCCCGCGGTAGTCGCGGAGCTGGTGCTGCAGCGGCTGCAGGCGCACGGCTACAACGTCTTTGCACCCGAGCTGCGGGAGCCGCTCGGGCTGCGGCTGCGGACCGCGCTCGTTTGGAACGCGGCGTTCCGCTCCTTTTAACTACGCCATGTCTGGTGGGGAGTATGATATATGTTGAGTTTGATCGCGCCTCGCCCAGCCCTCTCACTTGTTGATGTGGGCGATGATTTTCAGAGCCTTTTGCTACGCTCTTTCACACGCTCCTCCTCAGCTCACAGCTGGCCCTGTCGCCTGTGGCGCCCGGGGGGCCGCCGCGCCCCGCCCCGGCCGCACGACCTCTCGAGTCGACGTCGCGCCGCCCGTGCGGCGCCGGCGGGGCGCCGGTCGCGTGTCCGGTGTGCACACTGTCGTCACACACACGCTGAGGAGAGCCGAGAGACGGAGTGCGGTACGGCGTAGACGGTAGACCACCCACCGAGGGGGCGAGAGCGCGGAGTCAGACCGAAGACACGACGTGGTTCACTCTGGGCAGCGAGCCGACACCGACAGAGAGACCCAGAGAGCGACAGGGAGACAGTCCACGTACAGAACGTATCAGTCCAATCAAGAAGGGAGGAGATAATTTCGGGGGAACGCGAGAGAGCCGAACGCGATGTGTAAGAGCGAAGCAACGGCGTCTCGCCGCACTGCTCTCATCGAAGCATCTCCGCGGATATCCCCCTCCTCTCCCGACAGTTGGCCTACTTCCATAGGCGGAGAGCGCCCTGGTGGTCGACGGTGACGAGCTTGCCGCTGCTCGTGAATGGCGGCGCGGACCACACTGCGACCCCGAACGCGTTCGCGGTGGGCGTACCGCGCGTAACGCCCACTCGTAGGGCTGTGCGAGTCACTCCCCAGCGGCTCGTACCGAGGGTTTGCGATCGAGCGAGGTCGACACCACACCCGAAGCACGCGTCTCCAGATTGCGTCGTCTTGCGCGCGTGTGTGCCGCAGTGTGAGTGGCTCGGCCCGCGCCTCGAGGCCCGCGCCCCGCCCGAGTCAGGGCACAGCGCCGTCCCGCGGCCCGGAAGTACCTCTATGGCAGTCACACCTCCTCGCGAAGCCCTATCAAAAAGATGCACGGTTGGAATAGAAAGCCTGGGAAGATGAGCCGGAAATGCTTCTTGATCCGCAGCTTTAGCTCCTTCATGACGAGGCCATAAGTTGCACGCGCCTTGGCATAGCTCCAAATAATTTGCTCAAGCTCCGGCAGAATTGCCCTTTCCGCATCATCTGCGCATGGGTGTCTCTCCGCATGTTTCGCCTCGATAAAGGCGGGCGACGATCCGCTCGGCGCCTCTCCGCAAGTCCGACTGCGACAGTCGCTCTCCCTCAAGCCGCCGCTATGTTGCAGTTGTCGCACCAACCAACTGCGCCAGGACGTTGATGCTCCTTCGATACGGAGGCTATGGCTACCAGAGTTCGCCGTGGAAGAGGCCGTGGAGGCGCGCAGCATGGTCGCACAACTGTCGCGTACTCGTGGAGAAGGTGTCGAGACTGCTCCGACTTACCGTCGCACAGACTTCCCTATGGGGTAGGTGAAGACTGGTGCCCCGGGGGCGTCGCAGACCTCGCAGTCCGGCAGCCTCTATATGTACAAGTTTCCTATTCAAGCATCGCAGTCCCCGAGCTGAGCCTCGCAGTCCACCCCTCGGGGAGTGGGGCAGCTGCCCCGCCCCTGCCGTGGAGGCGGGGGCGTTTTAGGCGATGGACGCGACCTGCGGGGCCGTGGGCTCCGCGGGCGCACAGCCAGCACCGCGCCGGCACCGGCGCGGCCAAGCACCTGTCCACCTGCATGGAGCGGCGTGCGGTGCGGCGACAGGCGACACGTACACTACCCTTTCAATTGCATCGGCGCTGCATGCGTGGAGAGGGGCGGTGCCAGCGGCTGCACTCGGCACGACGTGGGAACTTTGGCCCAGCCCTACGTCGACGCCCAGTGCCGGACGCCGCGCCAGCAGTGGCAGCACATGTGCGTCGCGTGCGACGACGAGCCGATCAACGCCTGGCGGCAGCAGGCGGAGGCGGAGCGGGCGGCGGAGGCGGCGGCGCGGTCGGCAGCGTTAGGCGCCGCGGCTGCGGCACCCACCGGCACCAGCGACGACCTCGACGCCCTCGACAACGACATGATGGACAGGGCTCTCCAGGCGGCAGAGGCGGCAAAGGCGGGCGGCGCGCCACCCGTCTCCTTCATCAGCCACGAGCGGGAGAGAAAGGAGATCGGCAAGCCCTGCTGGTCGCACATCGCGTCGGAAATCCCGCGCGTCCAGCACGACGGCTCCCTCGCGATGCCTGGCACTGGCCGTCGCGACGACGTCGACCTCTCCACTCTCCGGCGCCGCTAGCTTCTCGGAAGCTACGCCGCCTCCGGCGGCGCTAGAGGGGGGGGGGCCATGACCCCGGCAAGCCAGTGAGGACCTGCACGCGGTCCCAATGAGGCGATGTGGGATTCAACGAGACGAACGCGGATGGAACGGATGCGGTCGCCGTTTATCAAATGAACTGGCGCACCTTTTTTATAATACCAAAAGGAGGGCTACACGAGGCCCTCTACGCTGGGGCGCCGGCGCATAGGCCCAGCTCAAAATTTCTCTTCGCCTGCTACGCACTTCCGACTCCGCGGCAGACTCTGGCATCGCCCTCGCGGACCGCAGCTTACCTCTTACCTAAAATTCTTCGGGCCGGCGCTCTGGCTTGATGAGTGCCCCGGCCGGAGCCAAGAAACCACGGCGTGGGGTGGATGAGGGCTGTGGAAAGGCTTAGAAACGGCGGCGTGCCGCGCAATCCTGTTTTCTTAATGCCCGCAACCCACTGTATACTTACAAGAGTGGTGCTCTTGGGAAGAGGTTCCTCCTTTCCGCTCCCCCCCCCAAGGCGCGAGACACACATACTTACGCGCCAACGCGGCACGTACGGGGCACGGGGCACCAACGGTGACGAACGGTGTCGCTGTGACTGTGTGATTTTAGTGCGCTACCTACAACATACGTCATACCCGCAAAGAGAAATCGAGTTGGCATTGCTCGCGAAGTCTCGCAACGAACGCGGCTGCCAGGCCTCTCAGTTCACGCCGGAATCGTGAACCGTGAACCGTGAACCAACTAGCCCCCGCCCCGAGTCCGTGAACCCCGAACCGTGAACCGACTAGCCCCCACCCCGAGTCCGTGAACCGTGATCCGTGAACCGACTCCCCCCGCGACACCCGCCGCGAACCGTGAACCGTGAACGAACCGAGTCTGGCGAACCGGCGGTGAACCGCCGGTTCGCGAACTGGGTTCGCGAACTGGTTCGTGAACCGCCCCCACCAAGTTCGCGCGGCGGTTCGCGAACTGACTGGGTTCACGCGAGAACTGGCTCGTGAACCGCCCCCACCAAGTTCGCGCGGTTATCAACTACTTCGAACCGCGAACGACGGCTAATCACAATGCTAAATTCCTCGCTACCCAACGCGGCCAAAGGATATCCACCTCGAGAACCTCGGCCCGCTAAATTCTTTTCCAGTGCGCGCCAGTCCCGTGCCCAGTGTTGTGCGAGGAGTTCGGTTCGAAGATTCTTTAGCAGCGGGGAGCACGGTCGGAAGGGCGCTTTTGTCGCTTTCGGCAACACTGAATCATTCTACCGGAACATGGTCATGGGGCATGGGCCCTACTGCGAGGAGGTGCACGCAACCTAGACAAGGTGCGTTATCAACATCACGGACTCACGCACCCTGCACATGCACACCTCTTACACTGTCAGGACATACAGGCACGTCTACTCACTACTCAGCGCGTGTGCACGCAACCTAGACAAGGTGCGTTATCACCATCACGGACTCACGCACCCTGCACATGCACACCTCTTACACTGTCAGGACATACGGAGGCGGAGGAGGCCTCGGAGGTGCCTCGGCAATGTATTACATCGGCAGCGAGGGCGGCGAAGATGGAGGCGGAGGGCTCCCCGGGGAGAGGCAAGCCTCAGCCAGACCGAGATCTTCAATGCAGGGAATAGGCACATAGGCGCATGCATGCAGGGCATAGGCGCATGCATTGTTCCCACTCGGGTCCGTAAGCCAGATGTTCGCTCCCGCCTTGACCAGCACGGCTGCAATTTCTTTCCCGCCTGGATACGTATTGTCATAGAATATCACTCGTGATAGCGCCTTCAGGAGCGGGGTTCCTCCCCGAACCATTTCGTCGAGGTAAGCGCCCTTGCCAACCAGGAACTCTACGGCGCCGAGGCTTCCATAGTTGCTGGCCATCGTTAGGGGAGTAGCTCCATCGCTTGATCGAGTAAAGTTGACGTCAGCACCTGCCTCGACCAAGGCCTTGACAATTTCGTTTCTCGTCGCCATGCCACCTGCAATGCCATCTGGCGTCGCCATCATCCTAATGGCGACAATGAGCGCGTTTTCGCCCGTGTAAGTAGAAGTCCGGTCGGGCTCGGCTCCCGCCTCGAGCAGCATGTTAACGATCTCAAGGCCCGCCGCATAGTCGCTGTGCTGAGTGATACGGACCGCGCCGATTAGGGGGGTGGTTTCATATCTCCCCTGTTTTGTGTTGACGTCTGCGCCCGCATCGATGAGCAGCCTGGCGACCTCGGCGTGCCCGAAACTGGTGGCCGCGCCCAGTGGCGTGAATCCCATCGACGACCGCGGCTCGTCGATGCCCGCACCGCCGTCAATCAGTTTCGTGGCGAGCGCGACGAGGCCTTCCGCCGCGGCGAAGAAGAGCGCCGACCAGCCGTTCTCCGGGTTCTGCTCGTCGATATTCTCCGTGTCTGCGATGAGAGCGTCCATCGCCGCTGAGTCGCCGGCGAGCCCTGCCGTCCAGAGCGCGGGGGGAGGCGCGGAGGGGGGAGAAGGCGGTGAGGGCGGCGACGATGGTAGCGGCGGCGAGGGCGGCGACGAAGGCAGAGGGGGCGAGTTTGGTGGCGAAGGCAGCAGCGGCGAGGGCGGCGGCGAGGGTGGCGGCATTAGCGGCGACGAGGGAGGCAGTGCAGAAGACCCAGAGCTGGCAAACAGCAGCTCGAGCGCCGAACCAGATGGCGCAGCGTTGACGATGGAGCCAATCTGAACGACGATGCACACCAGCCTCGGCGCCATGCTCTGATGGAGAGAT